AAAAAAAAAAAAAAAAAAAAAAAAAAAAAAAAAAAAAAAAAAAAACTGCAAACAGTACCATCTACCTCAAATCAAACGCTTTACCCTGTGCCCAGATGAGCCCCCGCTAAACCTTCAGCATCATTACCATGGTTATTTGACTAGTTACGCACACAGCAGTACTCAGTGTGATGACTATGAGCACCGTGTGGGCAGGATATGGACAAACAGCAGGGTAGGGTCCCCAAGCTGCTAAGTGAACTAGATAGGTGGAGTAAGAATGGGGGAGGGGAGGTCAGCTTCACGGCAGGAATGAGATTCAGGAGGGCAGATCTGAGTCGGGAGAAATGCTGACAGGCCAGCTACCTAGTGATTGGAGTAGGCTCAGGTGAAGGCTGGGTGTGCAATAGCACCATAGACACAGGGGTGTTGTTTGGGTTCCTCTTGCCTGTGTGTGGCCCAGCACTAACTCTCATCCCTAGGCCTCTGGTGGTTAAAGGGTGTTTATCTTAGGACTAAAAGCTCTGTCTCTTGAAGGGAAGGAAGAGCCTTCTTATCTGCTCAGTCAGGTGGTCATGGGAGACAGACCCACAAGGCCCACTGCTAAGCACTAGAAATAGGTGGGAGTATAATCTATAGTATCGACCATAAAAGTGCATACGATGATAGTTCCCAGTGGACTAAGGGGGATAGTGAATTCTAGGAAGTGAAATTTGGGTAGGCTCTCAAAGAACTGAAGTATGAAAAGGAAGGTCAAGAAATTCAAAGAAGGCTGGGAGCAGTGGCTCACACCTGGAATCCCGGCACTATGGGAGGCCATGGTGAGCAGACAGCTTGAGCCCAGAAGTTTGAGACCAGCCTGGGCAATATGGCAAAACCCCATCTCTACAAAAAAAAATAATAATAATAGCAAAAATTAGCCAGGTGTGATGGCACGTGCTTATAGTTCCAGCTACTCAGGAGGCTGAGGTGGGAGGATTGCTGGAACATGGAGGTGGAGGTTGCAGTGAGGCAAGATCACACCACTGCACTCCAGCCTAGGTGACAGAGCAAGATCCAGCAAGATACTGGCTCAAAAAAAAAAAAAAAAAGAAATTCAAATAGGGTAAATAAAGTATCTAAACAAAGGTGGAGATGGCTATCTTTGTTTAGCCAGGCATGGTGGCAGGTGCCTGTAATCCACAGTTGGGGAGCACTGCACAAATCAGTTTAGTGAGAAATCAGCTCAATTAGTGGCAGGTCAGATTGGAGAGGGAGGAAGAGAAGACGTACATGTCAAGCCAAGGGAAAGAAAGCTGGACTATGTAAATCATGTTCTGAAAAAGTTCATCTCAAAGAAGTGGGCACCGCTACATACTGATTTCAAGAAATGTAAACTCTGCAGAGTAACCTTTCCAGCTCACTCCCTTCATAAACCTATATATGGCCCCAAGAACTCAGCAAACTGGTGGAACATTCCAAAAATGAAATAATCATGTTCTTCGCCAGGCCCACCACATCACCTCACCGTTCTCGGAGGAATGTGCAGCAGGCGTCTTTGATGCTCTGCAGCTGCAGGAAGCTCGCCCCCATCAGCAATGACTGGACATTTTGCTGGTCAATGGCAAGGTTGCCGTTGTAGGCAAAGTTGATTAGAGCCTCCAGGGCACTAGAGGAAAGAGGGAAAGCTGTGAGATGCTCTTCAGAGATGAGTCTTGGCCCACGGAAGACTCAGGTCCTAACTGAACTGACATTATTTGGCCCAACTGAACTGACATTATTTGGCCCATGCTCTTTGAGAATCTATCTAACGGAGTAACTACTTCACCACAGCCCAAAACTCATCTACCAAGTTGTCTTCATTACCCTATAGAAAATTCTAAAAAAGAGAACACAATCACCCCACAATTGCACTATTGAAAAAGTCAAGAACAGCCATTCTTCTATATTCATTTTCAGCCCCTGATTGCCTACGTGCATGAATTATATCCATATAATCATAAAATACTTATCCACCCCTTTCCCATGTTGCTACACTGTCTTCATGTTTATTGTTTTTAGTGGCTGCTATATAATATTTCAACATGCAAATATGCTAACATTTATTTCCTTTATTGGTAAGCATAATAGCCATTGTCATCTTGCTGTTAGAACGTTTTTGAATTATTCCTTTGGGGTAAATTTCTAGAATGAGATTTCTAACATTTATTCTGCTTTCAATTCATGCTGAAAATGAAATCCAAATTGCATCTATAGGGCTGTATGTGCCCTGCTCCCTCTCCATCTGTCTATCCTCATCACCTCCAGTTTCTCCCTTCCTCACTGGACTCCCAACGTTCTGAACGTATTCTTACTTCGGGCCTTTGCAATGACTGCTCCGTTTGGAGGGCTCTTCCCCCAGATGGCTCACTCCCTCACTTCAATTAAGATGTCTCAGCTCAAATGCCACCCCATGGCAGGGGCCTTCCTTGATCACCCCAAAATAGCACAGACCCCACTATCTTTCACTAGCCTTTACTCTGCTTCACTTTTATCACTTTCACTCTTAGCCATACAATGCATGTATTTGGTGACTGCCAAATCACTACTAGAAAGCTGGCAGAGGCCGGGCATTGTGGCTTATTCCTGTAATCCCAGCACTTTGGGAGGCCACGGCAGGCAGATCACCTGAAGTCAGGAGTTTGAGAGCAGCCTGGCCAACATAGTGAAACCCCGTCTCTACTAAAAACACAAAAATTAAGGGCCGGGCGCGGTGGCTCAAGCCTGTAATCCCAGCACTTTGGGAGGCCGAGGCGGGTGGATCACGAGGTCAAGAGATCGAGACCATCCTGGTCAACATGGTGAAACCCCGTCTCTACTAAAACTACAAAAAATTAGCTGGGCATGGTGGCGCGTGCCTGTAATCCCAGCTACTCAGGAGGCTGCGGCAGGAGAATTGCCTGAACCCAGGAGGCGGAGGTTGCGGTGAGCCGAGATCGCGCCATTGCACTCCAGCCTGGGTAACAAGAGCGAAACTCTGTCTCAAAAAAAAAAAAAAAAAAAAAAAAAAAAAAAAAAAAAAAACATAAAAAAAAAAAAAAAAAAAAAAAAAAAAAATACAAAAATTAGCCTGACATGGTAGCACACACCTGTAGTCCCAGCTGCTTCAGAGGTTGAGGCAGGAGAATCACCTGAGCCCAGGAGGTGGAGGTGGCAGTGAACAGAGATCATGCCATTGCACTTTAGCCTGGGTGACAGAGTGAGACTCTGTATCAAAAAAAAAAGGAGGTGGGTGCCTGTAATCCCAGCTATTCGTGGAAGACTGAGAGAGGAGAATCATTTGAACCTGGGAGGTGGAGGTTGCAGTGAGCCCACTGTACCACTGTACTCCAGCCTGGGCACCAGAGTGAGACTCCGGCTCAGAAAAAAAAACAGTTGACAGAATGAGGAGAGGTGCTGTTTTCTCACTGCTATAACTCAGATAGATGATAGAGCTGTGCTCATCAGGGATGTTCAGGCAATTTCTGTTAAATGAAGCACCTAGACTATTCATGGGATGAGCATGCTCCTTCAGACACATACCTCAGGGAAGAGGAGTGAGTGCACAACGGCCCTTGGACACTTACTTCTATGTCTTTCCTCATAAGTAACTGGCCTAAGATTTCTTTCTTTCTTTTTTAAGAGTTAAGGTCTCACTCTGTTGCCCAGGCTGGAGTATAGTGGTGTGATCACAGCTCACTGCAGCCTTGACCTCCTGGGCTCACCTCCCACCTCAGCTTTCTAAGTAGTTGAGACTACAGGTGTGTACCATCACACCTGCTAATTAAAAATTTTTTTTTATATACAGATGTGGTCTATGTTGTCCAGGCTGGTTTTGAACCCCTGGCCTCAAGCAATCTTCCCACCTTGACCTCCCAAATTGTTGGGATTTCAGGTGTGAGCCACCTCCCGCAGCCTGACCTGAGATTTCTACCTTGCCATGGGTATATAAATCCTCTTCCTGTATTGGGGCAGATCACCTTCAGTCATCCAGAGGGTAACACACAGTCTCCTAGCTCTTTTCTCCCTAGTTGTCACCACTGTCAGATTAAGAGGATGGGAAATAACTGACTACCAGCTAATGGGATAACCTTGGGCTTGATCTCCTTGAGCTTCAATTTTCTGAACCATGAAATAACCAAAACAGCTACCATCTTCTAGATCTGTGTTGTCCAATATAGTAGCCATTAGCCACATGTGACTATTTAAAATTAAACTGATGAAAATTAAACAAAATTTAAAATTCAATTCTTCAGTCCCACTAGTCATATCTCAAGTGTTTAATAGCCATCTGTGGCTAGTGGCTACCATTTTGGGCAGTACAAATAGAGAGAACATTCCCATCACTGCAGAAAGCTTCAGTGGACAACACAGTTCTAGACTGATGAGAAGGGATGTGAATGAAGACACTTATTTGAAGAACTATTTTGTCAGCTAAAATAACTAGCCAGAAAAGTGCAGAGAATAATATACCACCACCCTTAAACCCAGCCCCAGTTAAAAAAAAAAAAACAAAAAACATGGAATCTAGATCCTATTAAATGTATTTTTCTTTTTTTTTTTTTTTTTTTTTTTTCGAGGCAGAGTTTCACTCTTGTTACCCAGGCTGGAGTGCAATGGCGCGATCTCGGCTCACCGCAACCTCCGCCTCCTGGGTTCAGGCAATTCTCCTGCCTCAGCCTCCTGAGTAGCTGGGATTACAGGCACGCGCCACCATGCCCAGCTAATTTTTTGTATTTTTAGTAGAGATGGGGTTTCACCATGTTCGCCAGGATGGTCTCGATCTCTTGACCTCGTGATCCACCCGCCTCGGCCTCCCAAAGTGCTGGGATTACATAAATGTATTTCTCTTATAGTCAGGTAAAAACAGCATTAAAACTCCCTTCATTTTTTTTTTTTTTGAGATGGAGTCTTGTTCTTGTCCCCCAGGATAGAGTGCAATGGCACAATCACGGCTCACTGCAGCCTCCACCTCCTGGGTTCAATTGATTCTCCTGCCTTAGCCTCTCAAGTAGCTGGAATTACAGGTGCCTGCTACCATGCCCGGCTAATTTTTGTATTTTTAGTAGAGACAGGGTTTCGCCATGTTGGCCACTCCTGACCTCGTGATCTGCCTGCCTTGGCCTCCCAAAGTGCTGGGATTACAGGTGTGAGCTACTGAAGCCGGCCAAAACTCCCTTCATTTTAACCCCATCTCAGGGCACTGGCTGAGGTTATTAATCACTTACTATTTGTGTAGAGCTAGGCTATTAGACACTGTCTGCTGCAGGTCCTCAGTGGAACCATGCACAGGCTGAAACCGTACCTGGAAAGCAGCCCGTGAAAACTAACGGTGGGATTCAGTACCTTGGGTCCATTCCCTGCATTACAATCTCATCCTGCTTGCACTCCATCATGTCATTTGTAAACATGGCATGGAAATACGGGATCGAGGCTGCTAAGACGATCCGGTGAGCACTGAATTTGTGGTCCCCAATCTGTAGGCAAAGTAAAACACAAAGACAGATACTGAGAAATGCAAATATAAAAACCAAACCTGCCCCCCTCCATAGCATACCCCACTGCCCATTGCAATGATGCTGAAGGTACCTCAGGGCATGGAGGCCAAGGCTAAGCATAGAGACCCTGAAGTATTTTAAATTCAATATACTCGGTTACAGTGGAAGAATGTAAACAATACATTTTAATGAAGTGTTAAAATAGTTTAAAATTTTAAGCCTGAATCTTTCATGTAATAGTTTTTACTTATATGGTAATCTCCAATGCACCCCTTTGAGCTACTCCACCAACTTGAATACCTGATTCCTCTAAGACTTTATCCCAACCCCAGTTTTATGGGAAGGCAGATGGACTAGACAAACTGTCAAGATCGCTGGTGCTCCTAAGAGTATGTTCCTCAACAAGAGTAAATATGTAGTGACAGGAGGGGTGAGGAGATATACTGGTGTTGTGGACTGGCTGCTCTGCATGGCCGGCAGGGACAGAGGCCAGCTCTTCCTCCAATGAGTATCAAATCCTCACTGACGGGCCCTTAGCCTGAGGAATTCTATAAAGTGTTTCCAACTATCTGCCAAAGGCTCTTCCCTTCAATAAGCCATTTATAGCTCCAAGCTATATAAACATTTCCACTTAAGAACTTTCTGTTCTCCAGGAAGAACAAAACAGTCCTTTTTTCCTTTATATCAGGTTCTACATTAGTGAAAAGCCAGAGAATCTCACTATGTGATGCTTATCTCTTTGTGTAATGTTTATCCAAGGATTCTAGCTCATGTCCCTGTCATTATGCCCTCTTTCACTGAACTTCAGGTTTATTAACTGTAAATAGCCCTTCAAATCACACACACAATCTTTCAAATGCCAAGGGATCTTTATCAGATTCAAATTCTTCATAGGATTCATCATGTAATCTAGGTGCTGCTCTACTACAATGTTGGGGACATTAAATGGTTGCATGTTTCGGGGGTTTTTATAATTAAAAAAAAGTCACACTAATACATGTATACTTTTTTTAAATTTTACTTTTTTTGAGATTGGATCTCACTCCCTCACCCTGGCTGGAGTACAGTGGCACAATCATGGCTCACTGCATCCTTGACCGCCCCGGCTCAAGCAATCCTCCTACCTCAGCCTCCCAAATAGCTAGGACTGCAGGTGTACACCACCACACCCAGCTAATTTTTTAAAAAATTATTATTTGTAGAGACAGTGTCTTGCTATATTGCCCAGCCTGGTTTTTTGTGGGGGATTTGGGGGAGACAGGGTCTCACCCTGCCGCCCAGGCTGGAGAGCAGTAGCATGATCATGGCTCACTACAATGATCTTCAGACTCCTTGGGTCAAGGTGATCCTCTCACCTCAGCTCTCCAAATAGGTGGGACTCCAGGTGCATGCCACCGAGTTCAGCTAATTTTTTTTGTATTTTTTTGTAGAGATGGGGTTTTGGCATGTTGCCCAGGCTGTTCTTGAACTCTTGACCTCAAGTGATCCTCCCACCTTGGCCTTCCAAAGTGCTGGGATTATGGGCATGAGCCACTGAGCCCTGCCCAAGCTGATTTTGAACTCCTAGACTTAAGCTATCCTCTCTCCTAAGCCTCCCCCAAAGTGCTAGGATTACAGGAGTCAGGAGTGAGCCTCTCTGACCACTCACCTCCCATTCCTTTTTTGGGGGGTTGGGGAGACAGAGTCTTGCTGTGTCACCTAGGCTGGAACGCAGTGGTACAATAATGGCACACTGCAGCCTCAACCTCCTGGGCTCAAGTGATCCTTCCTCCTCAGCCTCCCAAGTAGCTGGGACTACAAGCATGTGGCACCACATCTGGGTAATTTTTCTTTTCTTTTCTTTTTTTTTTTTTGAGATAGAGTTTCCCTCTGTTGCCCAGGCTGGAGTGCAATGGTGCAATCTCGGCTCACAATAACCTCCACCTCCTGGGTTCAAGTGATTCTCCTGCCTCAGCCTCCTGAGTAGCTGAGATTCAGGTACACGCCACCATGCCCGGTTAATTTTTGTAGTTTTAGTAAAGACAACATTTTACCATGTTGGTCAGGCTGGTCTCAAACTCCTGACCTCATGATCCACCCGCCTTGGCCTCCCAAAGTGCTGAGATTACAGGCATAAGCCACTGTGCCTGGTCTCAACTTTTTTTTTTTTTTTTTTTTTTTTTTGTAGAGTCTGCTATGTTGCCAGGATGGTCTCAAATTCCTGGCCTCAAATGATCCTCCCACCTCATCCTCTCCAAGCTCTGGGATTACAGGTGTGAGCCACTATACCCAATTCATATTTCTTTTTCTTTTTTTGAGACAGAGCCTCCCTCTGTTGCCCAGGCTAGAGTGTAGCGGCATGATCTTGGCTCACTGCAACCTCTGACTCCTGGGTTCAAGCGATTCTCCTGCCTTAGCCTCCCAGGTAGCTGGGATTACAGGTGCCCACTAACACACCTGGCTAAAGTTTTGTATTTTTAGTAGAGATGGGGTTTCACCATGTTGGCCATGCTGATCTTGAACTCGTGACCTGAAGTGATCCACCTGCCTTGGCCTCCCAAAGTGCTGGGATTATAGGAGTGAGCCACTGCGCCTGGCCCCTACTCATATTTCTTAAAGTTGTTCTACAAGGTTTATTCAACAACAACAACAACAACAACTAGCATTGATTTCTTGATTCCTTGCCCTTGATTCCTACTCCCAGGGGCAACCTCTTGCTTCTAGGACTTTTCAGCATCTTTCTAAATAATATGCCTACTTATTACTTGTTGACTTTTCACTTTTAGTTATTCCCTGTGGTAGCCAGCCTCAAAATAGCCACCAGTAAACGCTGACTCTTGGTATTCACACCCTTGTGCAGTCCCCTCCCACAATACGTCAGGGTTGGTCTATGTGACCAACAGAATATAGCAGAAGTAATGATGGTATGTCACATTCAAAGCTATGTCATAAAAAGCACTGAAATTCCTCTTACCCTCTTCTCCTGGATCACTTGCTCTAAGAGAAGCTAAATAACATATCCTTAGGAGAGGCCCATATGAAGAGGACTGAAGCCTTCTTTGGCTGCCTGAGTGAGCTTGGAAGAGCATCCTCCAGCCAGCTCCAGTCAAGCCTTCAGATTACTGCAACTTTGTGAGAAATGTCTAAGCTGACTCTGAACTCCTGGCCCTCAGAAACTGTGAGATAATAAATACCTGCTGTAAGTCACTGAATTTTGGGTCAGACACAGGGTGGCTCACGCCTGTAATCCCAGCACTTTGGGAGGCTGAGGCAGGTGTATCACTTGAGGGTGGATCAGGAGTTTGAGAGCAGCTGGGCAACATGGTGAAATCATGTCTCTACAATACAAAAATTAGCTGGGCATGGTGGCACATGCCTGTAATTCCAGCTACTTGGGTCCCTGAGGTAGGAGAGTCGCTTGAACCTCGGAGGCAGAGGCTGCAGTGAGCCAAGATTGTTTCACTGCACTCCAGCCTGGGCTGGAGTTGCAAAAACAAAAAAGTCACTAAATTTTGGAGTAGTTTGTTATGTGGCAAAAGGTAACTATTATATTAGTAATCTAATTCCTATTATGGAAGATTAGGAACTTGTCCTGATACCCTTCTTCATGTACTACCCCATACATTCCCTATCTTTCCAATATAATTAGGTCAAATTTTGGTTAAATTAAGAGTTGCATTAAGTCAATGTAAATATTATTTATAACTAAGCCATGTCATATACTATGAGTATATTTCCTTTTTGTATAATGTTTCTTTTTCCTGGAGTGTAAACTCCTGTTAATATATTCAGTCAGGTACTCTATCAATTGTTTAAGTTGTCTGTTTCTTGAGACACTACTGGAACTCTTCCTGAGAATTGTTTTCCTCATCTATATTGACAACCCCATTTCCTCCCACTTAGTCCTCTTTCTTATTTATTCACTTGTTCTGGTAGAATATGTCTTCTAGGCCGGGTGGGGTGGGTCATGCCTGTAATTCCAGCACTTTGGGAGGCCAAGGTGGGTGGATCACCTAAGGTCAGGAGTTCCAGACCAGCCTGACCAACATGGTGCAACCCTGGGCGTGGTGGTGGGTGCCTGTAATCCCAGTTACTCAGGGGGCTGATTGGGAAGAATCACTTGAACCCAGGAGGCAGAGGTTGCAATGAGCTGAGACCACGCCACTGCACTCCAACCTGGGTGACAGAGCAAAACTCCACCTCAGGAAAAAAAAAAGTTCTCTTCTAGAAGAGCTTCATAAGAAGGGGTCTATGTTCAATGTCTGAAAATGTCTTTACTACCCTCAAGCTTGGATAATAATTTAGCTGGTTAAAAAATTCAAAGTTTACAGTTTTTTTTCCTGTCAAAATTTTGAAAGTATTACTTCATTGTCTTCTAGTTCTTCGTTTTTAGAGATGGGGTCTTACTCTGTTCCCCGGGCTGGTCTTGAACTCCTGAGCTTAAGCAATCCTCCTGCCTCAGACTTCTGAGTAGTTGAGACTACAGGCATGCTAGTATGCACCTGGCTACATTTAAAAATACATACATATATGTATTTTTACATACTACATTAAAAACACATATATGTATGTATTTTTAAATGTAGTCCTGCTTTGTTGCTCAGGCTGTTCTTGAACTCCTGGCCTCAAGTGATCCTCCCACCTCAGCCTCCCAAAGTGTTGGGATTACAGGTATGAGTCACCACACCTAGCCTATTTTGTTGTTTTTGAGAAATCAAATGCTATTTTGAATCCTAACTCTTAGTATGCAACTGTGCTCTCTTAGAAGCTTTTAGGCTTTTCTTCTTTATTCTTGCAGTTCTAAAATTTCACAGTGTTGTATCTTGGTATTGGTTTTTTTTATTGTGCTGTATCAATCTACACATATTATTTCAGTTCTGGAAAAATCTCTTCACACCATTTCTTTGATAATTTTCTCCCTCCTATTGTAATTTTTTCTCCTCAGAAATTTCTATTAGTCAGGTGTTAGATTTCTTGGAATAATCCTCTAATTTTCTTAT